TGCTGGCAACATTATATCTTATAATAAGGGAGAAGAAATTTTCCAGCCAGGTAATTCCCAATGTCTTGGAGTGTGAATTTCATGTCCCTTGTCTGTAAGCTTATTTGACATTGTTAATGACAGAAACTTGGAGATATCGTGGAAATGACTTTTGCGGGCCGTTATGTTATCATGATGATGGCACTTTTTTCAATCTACACAGGACTGATTTATAATGAATTTTTTTCTGTCCCTTTTGAATTGTTTGGGCCTTCTGCATATGGTTGTCGTCATACTTCATGCAGGTACAAAACAATGCAACTCTTTTTTAGCTTACTTTCCTCCGTGCCAGTGATTTACATCCCTCGTTTTTCAGGGATGCCACTACCATAGGTTTAATAAAGGTTCGTGATACATATCCATTTGGTGTGGATCCTAAGTGGCATGGCACTCGAAGTGAATTACCTTTTCTCAACTCGTTGAAGATGAAGATGTCGATTCTACTGGGAGTTGCTCAAATGAATCTTGGAATTATATTGAGCTACTTCAATGCGAAATTCTTTGAAGAAAAAATTAACATCTGGTGAGTTGTAGTAAGACGGATCTATCATGTTTGTCAGTAAAATCGATTGAGGGTTATTGGGAGGGAGTCCCACGTATGCTAATTTAAGGAATACATCTCAGATTGGTATGAGGCCTTTTGGGAAAATCAAAAGCAAAGTCATGAGAGCTTATGCTCAAAGTGGACAATATCGTACCATTGTAAAGATTTAGGATTCCTAACAAAGTCATAAATGTTTATGACACGCTTTCTGTAGGGTTCATTGTTTGAAAATTCGTCCTGATGGTGGATTCTTGCATGAAATCTATTTACACGGTTATATATCATAAGATTTTTATTTCTTTCTTCTAAAATTGTTAAATTCTATTTCATTGTTGTTCAGGTACCAATTTGTTCCGCAGATGATATTCTTGAACAGCTTATTCGGCTACCTCTCGCTTCTCATAATTGTAAAATGGTGCTCTGGATCTCAAGCCGATCTGTATCACGTAATGATATACATGTTCTTGAGTCCTACAGATGATCTAGGTGAAAATGAGCTTTTTCCAGGGCAGCAGTTTGTTCAGGTTCTTGATGTTTTAATGTCACTCAAGTTTCTTTTCGTATTACTGAACTGGAACCAACTCTAAATAATTATATCTTACAACGCCAGGTTCTTTTACTTTTGGCTGCCCTCACTGCCGTGCCATGGATGTTGCTTCCGAAGCCTTTTCTGTTGAGGAAACAGAATGCAGAAGTAAGTCATGTTATGTTTTTTTCTAGTCTCTTATAGCAGCTTCTTTCCTTTTTTTTTTTTTTTTCGTACCTGGCATTCACGGGCCGTTTCTGATAAGTTAACCCTGACCAGTTGAATCTAAGAACCCTCGTAGGTACTTAGACATGCCAACCCTTGTTCACAAATGTTAAAACCCCAAAATCAATTTGATTTCCCCCCAGGGAAAGTAAGACTTAGATTACCTGGGTGATCATCAAGGAAAAAAAAACTTTTTTAAGATTCAAATCACTCCACAAGCAAGATCGATCAAGCTTGAATGATTCTAAATATGCAATCTAAACTACATAGAACTACAAAGAAATTTGGTCTCTGGATAAGGAGAGCTTCAAAATGAAAACCTTTACCCTTCGTGAGACATTTCAAGAGTTAATAAAAGTCTTAAAATACATTAAAATTTTAACGTTCCAAGAATCTTCTATATTACATGATTGAGATATCTTGGTTCATATCCGTTTCTATCTTATCTTTGCCAGAGGCACCAAGGTCAATCTTACTCCCTACTTCACGGCACGGATGACAATCTTGAAACAAAACAGCACCACAGTTCCCCCAGCCACGATGACTTTGACTTCAGCGAGGTCTTTGTACACCAACTTATACATACCATAGAGTTCGTACTTGGTGCAGTTTCTAACACAGCATCTTATCTACGTCTATGGGCCCTCAGGTAAAAAAGAGCATTTTATCACTCTTTTAACGTAAATGCTACTCTTGGTGCATGAAAATTTCTTGGAATCTGTCAATCTCCTTGGCTGATTGGTTTTTACCTGATAATTGGATCTACTTTCTGAAATTAAAAACTACTAAATTATGCCTAGGTTGGTGACCGTAAATTAAGTCTATAAATACTACTTTCACCTTGGTTTTCCTAATTTGTTATCTACTTTCTATGCATGTTTAAAAAATTAACTTGAAAACTTATAAAATAGCTCTCAGAAACTTGTTTTTGTTTTTGAAATTTAGCTAAGAATTATACAAAACAAACCTAATTTTCAAAAATCAAGAACCAAAAATCAAATGAAGCTTTAGTACTATGAGGACCCTATTGTGTTTTACCTTCTTGACAAACTAAACCCGGCATTTTAAGAAAGGATTTAAACATCATTCAAGTTGTTTGTGCATGTAAGCATCATTTCTGTCAATTAGATTTAATGAATCTGGTATTCACAGCAAGTGAAAAACAGATCCAAGTATCGAGCGGTCAAACCTATTAAGCATTTAGCATGTTTGAACTATTTTTAAAGCATTGGAGTATGTGTGATTTGTAACAATTCCTTTACTTATAAATTTGGAGCCGAAAAGGCCCTCTGCATATTCATATTTTAAGTAGCTATCATTTATAAGCTTTTTAGTCGAGATGCACGTAAGCTAGCTTAAGCATAGTTAAAGTACCATCCACCCTTGATTGTGCTTGTGAGATCTCACATTGGTTGGAGATGGAAACAAAACATTCCTTATAAGGGTGTGGAAACTTCTCCCTAACATACGCGTTTTAAAACCGTGAGGCTGACGGCGATACGCAATGGACCAAAACAGACAATATCTGCTAGCAGTGGGCTTGAACTGTTACAAATGGTATCAGAGTCAGATACCAAGCAGCGGGCTAGCGAGGACGCTAAGCCCCAAGGGGGTGGATTGTGAGATCCCACATTGGTTGGAGAGAGGAACTAAACATCCCATATAAGAGTGTGGAAACCTCTCCCCTAGTAGACGCAGTAAAAACCTTAAGGGGAAGTCCGAAAGGAAAAACTCAAATAAGACAATATCTGTTAGTGGTGGGTTTGAGCTGTTATAGTGACGTTGTTTACAGTTAAACCTTCTTTGACTAGTTATCTACTTATTTTACGTTCTTCCTTTCATTCAGCCTAGCTCATTCGGAGTTGTCGAGCGTATTTTACGACAAGGTTCTACTCCTAGCTTGGGGGTTAGTAGTAGTGCTTCCACATCTTTTTCTTTTGCCCCATTGAAGGAAAAAACTCACAAGGTGATTGATAATGTTCAACTTCTTAAACATCTACAGGTTCGACAGTTGGAGCATCCGAATAATAGGAATAGCAGTTTTTATATGTGCAACTGTGGGAGTTTTACTAGTGATGGAAACTCTGAGCGCATTCCTACACGCCTTGAGGCTCCACTGGGTGGAGTTTCAGAACAAATTCTATGCAGGAGATGGATTCAAATTTTCCCCTTACTCCTTTTCTCTGCTTCGGGAGGAGGATGAGTGACACCATATTTTCGAAGCATGGTCATCAACTCAACTCCTAGTTGAAAATCATGAGGTTAGTTCCAAACACTTATTCAATTATTTCAAGTTTTGTTGATATTATTAATTTTTGTACCTGAAGTGTTTGTCCACACACACACCTACACAATAATGTTTGAATATAATACAAGTGTAAATGACCGTTAATAAAAGTATTTTTAAAAATTTTAATTTTCTTTGTAAACTCTTTGGTACGTTGCTTCAAATATAGTTTAGTGGTTGAGGTGTATATAATAAATTATTCGATGAGGCTGTCACAATGTGACGATCTCTTTGAAATCGATTTTAAAATTTCAAAATCAAGGTATTTTTACAATTTTTCTCTCAAACATCTAGTAGTGTTTCTCGAATAATTCCTTTGTTTGTAGTATGGTATTTCAAAAAGAAAGCAAAGGGGTTTTAAGGTAAGGTAGATTAATTGATTTTGAAAGGTTGATTAAATTTTACCACTTCATTTGGATTAAAGTAATTTTGTTTATATTTTTTCAAAGAAATTTAGCTGGTTGTTTGTTCAAAAATTCCTAATTAGTTTTTCATATTAAAAAAAACGTGTAATATTATTAAATTTTAAAAACAATAGTTAATTTCCCAAAGGCCGCTCTCTTTATGAAAATGGCTGTTATTGTGGTGGGTTTTTTTTTTTTTTTTTTTTTATCTCGACGCGTGAGAAGCCATCAAATCTTAAATTAAATGTATTAAAGATTTTACCAACATTTTAGAAAAGTAGATTACCAATCTTTTATTTAAAAAAATTGCACTGAGGTCTATTTCATATTATTGAAAACTGATTATTTGCTAAGTTTGTTATTTGTTTTTAACATGCTTCTAAAATCATTGCCGATATTTTAAAATATTTAAATAAATAGTTTTAGAAAATAAACCTGATTTTTAAAAGCTAGAAAAAACTGAGCATTAAATAGAGTTTTCACTAATTTTGAAATCTTAAAAACAGAACACAAAAACAATATCAGATCGGCCTAAACTTACTGTCCAAAATTATGAACCACATTGGTTTAACTTTTAAGGAGAAAAAAAAAAAACTAAGGTGAAATCACTTTATTTTCAAACCAGAATCAAACAAATAAACAGCCAAACGGGCTAAAATAGAGTAACGACCCAGATCCACTGCTAGCAAATACCGTCTTCTTTGGAATTTCTCTTTCGAGCTAACCCTCAAAGCTTTAACTACTGGGGAAAGTTTCCACCCTTTACCCTCAAAGCTTTAACTGCTAGGAGAAGGTTTCCATACCCGATGTTTCGTTTTCCTTCGGAACCAATGTGGGACTCCCACAAAAAGAAACAAAAGAAACATTGAAACCAAAATTTACCAACTATCAGCATGATGTTTTTTTTTAAGGCTAAAACCTATACTAACATAGACAAGACAAGGTAACACAAATATACATAGCATAGCAATCACATGGTATAATAAGAATGTCTGCATTTCTAGAATCCAAAATATATAGAAATTAGACAAACACAGTAACTAGCCATACCTATCAGCCAAGAGAAGAATCAAGTTCCATTAGCTCTGGCTGTAACATAAATACAACATATTTACAGAGCCCCAGTAACTTACCTTGATATAGAAGCGCCAAGGCAACAATGGCTCAGTTTTGGGTAGCAGCCACGGACGAGACCATCGACTCAACTCCACAGATATTTTTGCCCTTGCAGATTAAGTAGTACCCATTTTCTCCCCAGTTTTCTCCCCAAGAATTCTTTATGATCCAGTAGGGCTTCTCCTTGAACCGTATCGGAGCATAGCCTGCAGATCCATACCCTACAAGCAGTACTCCATGATTTAGGTTTCGTTTAGAGCATATGTATGGGCACGAAACTCCCTTCATGTATGTCTGCATGAAAGCCGCATTGATTCCAACTGCAGGAGGGAAATAAGAAATTAAAACCATTATCAAACTACTAAACTAGATCTAGATGATGAAAAATCCTGAATAAATGCATTGAAGTAGTGAAGAAGAAGAAGAAGAAGAAGAAGAAGAAGAGTTTTGTTTACTTGCTAGAGGACCATTCTTGAGCAAGTTCGCTGCAATTTGGTCGGCATCAAGAGAAATGACACTGAAGTTGGAAACAGAGGCTGCGATTTTGGCATTTTGGAATTTGCAAGGGCCACGATCCTTCCCAGTGTAAGGATAGTCCTCCTCTCTCTCTAATCCACCTGCTTTCAAAATGTACTCGAAAGCTGAGTTCATTAGCCCCCCGTTGCACCCCGCGTCGCATGCACCAGCTTCCTCAGGATCACACTGCAAAAACATTCGTTTGATTTTCAAATATTCATGACATAATCACTAACATCTCTATATAATTTTCTTCCAAACCATCTCTAAGATGACAATATCAGTGGTCAATTATTGATCAATAAGTTTTAAGTTCAAGCAATATCGTAACCACCAAAACTTTGTTGTGCATGATTTGAGAAATGTGAGATTGAATCATTATGCTTTTTCATTATTATTTAATAAACTTTGATAAGAAAATTAAAACAATTTGAAGACTAAATTTTAACATTTAAAATTACATGACCAAAATTGAATGGAACTCAAGTCTAGAAAACGAAACTCAAAATCTAGAAACAAACAAACAAAAAAAAAAAAAAAAAAAAAAAAAAAACTCCAAGTCAAGAAACCAAAATAATATTTTAAGTTTGCAGTACTTTTAAAATTTTAATTAAATTTCAAAAATCAAGAGGAACAATTTTTCAAAATTTCGAAGTTATTCTTAACAAAATGGAAAACAGCCAAAAATGACTTCTGTAGCTAAAAGTAGTTTTTTACCAGCTATTAATATTTTGTAAGGATGTGGATATATATATATATATATATATATATACACGATTTAGATATGTATATACGTGTGTATTGTTAGATAAAACCTGATTTTTCCTTATTTAGATTCACCATTTGACCATTTGACAAACACGTCGAATATTAACTAAGTTTTAGACGGCAATTGTAAGGAGTGGCACAGATTGAGTTGGCCACTCCTCCGCCATTTTTAGAATTGAGTTATATTTAAATAGAAATATGTTCAGAATATTGTACAACAGTCAAAATTTCATCATTCTCTCTCTTTCTTATTTTAAGCACTTTATTTTTTCTTCCAACAACCTGTTGTCGACAATTTCCTCTCACCCAAAAGAAAGGATTTCCAGGCCGATTATTGAAATCCAACATGTATATTATATACACTTAAAATCTTGTAATTCATATATATTTTTTTTCAGTTGATTAATTCCTACTCCAAATATAATTATTCATTTCTTTCCGGAAAAGTAGTTGTAGTGAAGTATTCATTTATTGCCAACAGCGAATTACTAAAACGTCAACATGTTTCCCGTTAGATCCATAAAATAAATTATAGTTTATAAAGTAATGAATAATCAGAAATTCAAACAAAAAGGCAATAAAACCAAGGCAGGGGATTAGGAATGGGAGCAAACCTCATGATCGCAATCCACAAGCTGTTGCTCGCTCAAACTAACAAGTTGTCCAGTTGACAAGAAATTAGCTCCCTCTAGCGCTCCAACAGCGCTAAAAGACCAGCACGAGCCACAAGAACCCTAAATAATCCAGAACACACACTTCTCTCAGAAAAAACCGAAGAAATCAAAATCGGATGTCAAATACTGATCTATAGACTTATCTTGAACAAGTTCATGCCGAAATAACTCATACCTGATTTTTGACCGGCGTGACGGCACCGTGGTCGCGCCAATCGAAGTCGGAGGCTAGGTTATCGGTAGGAAGGATCGGCGCCTTCTGAGCATCGGCAGGAAGACGGAGCCGATTTACTCCAACGAAATTTTTACGGAACTCGTCCTCGGTGAGATCGGAAAACTGAGTAACGCCATGGACGGCACCAGGATCGAGCTTCTGGTGGCGCTTGGCTTTGCGGAGATTAGCCTTGAAGATACGGAACCTGTAATCGTGCTCCTCATCGGTAGCATAGGTCTTTCCAAACTTCAGTTTGAAGTTCTGGAAGTGTTGCTCCGCTGTTAAGAGACGATCATCGGCTCCGGATACGACTTGACGAATCAGAATATCGTCATCTTCGGCGCCATTGATTTGGTCGGAAGATTCGCCGTAAGCTACCGTCGCCGATAGTAGAATGGCAAACGAGAGAGCTATTACAGTGAGGCGCTCCATTGGTACCGTAAAAGAGGGAGACGGAATTCGTGATATTTTGGGGCTCATCGACTACAAATAAATGGAGAAATACCGCGATGGATTGAACGGCAACAGTGCTGCCACGTAGCCGATTCTGATTGGCTAGGTTCCGTGCGAGTTTGAAACAAAATTGACGGATATTATATAAAAATAAAAATAAAAATTATATCCATTTCTTCTATAAATAAATAATATCTTAATTTAAGTTGAAATCAAATAATATTTTAAATTAAAAAAAAATATATGGTAATCTATTTTATTCATTATTTCTAAATTAAAATATTAATACGGTTGAAAAGGACTTAAACAAACTGAAAATACCAACCAAACTGGTCGATCTACAAACTTTAGCTAATGCACGGTGTACACAGTTTCTTCAAAGTTACTTTTTCTCGAGCTGATAATTATACGTTCCTCTACAACAAGCGTTTTCCTTCAACAGAACCAATAACCTATTTTACAAGCTCCAACCACGGCGGCTCGATGTTGGGACTGAAAGAATGTAAAAGGTAAAATTACTGACGGTTTAAAGATGAAAATGAGAGAAATTAAAGTTTTTGTTATTTAAAAGTTTTAAAAAAATAAAATTTTAAAAATTTAAACAGAATAATGTAAAAGTTAAAACAAATTATTAAAAATAAATAAGAAATAATAAAAAAAGGAGATATTTTTAGGTAGTGAGATATAATTAATGGATAGACCGCGATGTGATTGGCAACCTTGATGCCACGTAGCGGTTCGGTTTGGTCCGAATGGAAAAATACAGTAACTGCAATGTCCGGTCCAAGAACAGATATTTTGGATAAAATATTAAAGAATTTTTTTCAGGTTTTTTTTTTCTACTTTCTCCATTATTATTATTATTATTATTTTATTATTTATTTTACATTTTTTTCCTTAATATTTTATAATTTATTATTATTATTGTTTATTCCAACCAGTATAATTATAATAAACTTAAATTGGCCTCAATACCACCGTGGCAAATCTATTAATACAAAATATTTTATATATTTTTATTTGTCTCGGATCTACTCGAAGGTTTTGCTCACGAACTCGAAACCAAACCGATTCTGTTCGGGTCAAAAGAAATGAACCCAACCCTACCCGAAATGCTTATTCAGCCCAACCCACACACTTATAGTTCAGATTGGGTTGGGTTGGTCCGAGTTATTGGGTTGAATGTACATCTTTAATAACCATATAACTCTTTATATTAAAATTTTGTATAATTTTATTAAAATCATCTATTTTGAAAGGCTAAATTATTAACATGTGTAATATACTTATTAATAAATGAAAATCAAATTAAACTTTAAGGTATATTATTGTTTTATCAATAATTATAAAGTTTATAACTATATCTCATTTAATATAATTTATTCTACCCTGTCACATTAGACTAAAGGTTTAGTATTGGAAGTTTATATAATTTTATTAAAATAATTTATTTGACGATAATTATTTAGATTTATTACCAAATAAACTCAAAAGCCTAAATTTAACGTTATATTTAAATTTAATTAGTTAAAATTATTTTCTCGTGCATCATAAACACAAACTAACAAAGTTGAGGCAGAAAATATTAAAATCTCTAATTTTAAGAAAATAAGTACATGTCGATTATTGAGTTATGTTCATTTTAACGATCGAATATACAATTTATATTATTGCGTTATACAAGCTTCGATCTTATTATTAATAATAATAATAATAAAATTGAAAGAAAAATATTATATGAATTTCATAATTAAAATTAATTTGTCCATGAAATTTGTAATGACACGTATCCATTGCTAGCAGATATTGTCTTATTTGAGCTTTCCCTTTTGGGCTTCCCCTCAAGGCTTTAAAAGCGTTGGGACATCGTCTGGTGTCTGGTTCTGCTTCTCTCTTTCGAGCTTACCCTTAAAGCTTTAAAAGTGGTGGCACATCGTCCGGTATTTGGTTCTAATACGATTTGTAACGACCCATTTTCCCTTTCGGGCTTCCCCTCAAAGTTTTAAAAGTACTGGCACATCGTCTAAGTGTCTGGTTTTGTAACGACCTAGATTCACCGCTAGTAGATATTGTCTTATTTGAGCTTTTCCTTTCTGACTTCCCTGAAGACTTTAAAACGCGTCTACTAGTAGAAGGTTTCACACCCTTATAAATAGTGGTTTATTCTCCTCCGAACCAAGGCTATATACAAAAAAACGAGGAATCCATTATATATGTAACCTAAATCTAAATATCATCTAAAGAATGTTCCTTTGGTTCAGAGCAATAATCAGAAGCGGTCGGTAACACAGTAAATCACAATCCCCATCACAAAAAAGTCAAAAATGGATACGAGGACGCTTATTTCAGTATCCAGATTAGAGCAGTTGTACGATAACTCCTCTGGTATCGATTGCGTAATATTAAAGCTCCTTCCGACCACCGCTTCCAGTTCTTTAGGGTCCAGTCCAGTTCCGTCTACGGACTTTTACGCCTCCGTCGTCTCAACAAAAACAGAGTTGCAGAAATCTCGCCGGCGAAAGTTCAAACGTGAGAGAGAGGGAGAGAGAGGGAGAGAGATTCCGTAATCTGATTAGATATGGAAGATGAGAACGGCGGCGGTAGTAGCAGTAACTTGGATACCGGGAAGGCGGATAGATCAGTGTGGCTGATGAAGTGCCCGTTGTTGGTCGCCAAGTCATGGCAGTCTCATCCTCCATCTGATCCTCTTCCTCTCGCTAAGGTCATTCTCTCTCTCGATCCTCTTCAATCCGACGAGTCCTCTTCTCTCCAGGTATTTTTAACAATTGATGTTTATGCAGCGAACTAATTAAACTCTTTCTCGAGTTTTCTCAGTAGGTTTAATTGTTGTTGGCTTTGAATCTCGTGAATTATATTGTTTCTGATTGTGAATTTGATCGAGACTTTGATTGTGGAAGGATAACCCTAGATTTTCTCTCGTTTGAACTTTGATCTCTTGGGAGGGGTAGCTTGAATCTATGATACTTGTTGCAAAGTTCTTTATTAGTTCATTTATCGTAATTACTGAGCATTGGCCTCAAATTGTGCAAGATTTTAGTCTTTTTTTGAACTATTTGAATCATGAATCTTAAATCTTCATGAAAGGTTGCGTACTTGGATAACGTCTCCATTGGTTTGTGTTGTGAAACCTTGTTTTTTGGCTGTGGTTAAGGCCCTCACTTCCCTTGATGCGTTTGCTTGAAATCACATTTGTAAGGTTTTAAGTGTCCTAAAAGAGTTAACATCTTCACTTGGGAGTTCATTCACGGTGGTATTAACACTCGAGACAAATTAGAGCTAGGAACACTCTTTTCACTCTATGTTTGGTGCATGATGTGCAATGAAAGTGAAGGGACAAAGTACAGTTCCCCTTCATCTTAGTTAACAAACATTTTGTCGGCGTTTCTCTCACTCGAAGAGATCACAAAAAGGCTTCTCAAATGGTGTTAATGAGAAACAAATTATTATTACTAAGGATAGTGGAAAGGGTACACCATATTGAGGTGTTAAACTGAGCTTTCTCCCATATGTACTTCCAGTTCTTCTTCCTCCATCAAAATTATTGGAAGTTGTTTCTCTCCATATTGACCAGAGAGTGCTCATAACGCGTCCATATTGGATCCAAATACATTTCTTCGTTGGATGGCTCTTTCCCAACATGTGAGACACACATGTGAAACCCAATTAAATTGTAACTTTACAACAACTAACAAAAGAAGCTGATTGCAATACTCATCAAGTACAAAAAACTGATTGATCAAATTAAAAGTTCAAGGGTATGATTGCAACATTTAACAAAGTTAAGGGGGCTAATTGATCAAATTGAAAGTTCAAGGGTGTGATTGTAACACACTCCATAGTTCTGGGTGGTTCTGCAGTTTTTCCTTTTTGTATTGTTTGGCTCTACTCAATATTTTTTCGATTATATTAATGAAATTTTGGTTTTTCATCACAAAAAACAATCATTATGTTCTGTTATTTCTATGTCGCTGTTCTATATTTTCTGCTTTTTTTTCTTTTTTTTCTTTTGCTTTGGTTATTTTTTTCTTTCCGTTGTTTGTGCTTGCCAGTTCTGTACTCTCTTAGTCTTTGTTGGACTATACACTCTCAGATATACACATATGATGCATATATATAGAGGAAGCAGATTATTTATTTTACATATCCAGCAATGATGGTGACTGTAGCCTGTAGCTCATTATTTATTGTTTTTTTTTTCGACACTATTTTCCCTTACATGCTTCAAAATGTACCCCAGTTCAAGATGGAGATGGCTGGAACTGAGACTGGAAACGTGCCAAAAAGTTTTTCCTTAAACATGTTCAAAGATTTTGTCCCCATGTGTGTCTTTTCTGAGGCAAGTCAAGGTGAGCATCATGATCCACATCTGAAATCCATTATTTATTTTTCCGGCGTTACTGTTATCCTGAATGTGGCTTTATAAGAATATCCCTGATTTCGAGAAGTGTTTCTTCCTGTTTTGGTTATTGGTTTCTGTTAAGAACATCAATTTTGACTGAGGTCTGTTAACAAATAGTAATAAAACATCAATTTTGACTGATGATGATGTAGATTCTTCATTTCATTTTTATTGATTTTGTATTTTCTTAAATAAAGAACTGGGAAATTCATTGAAACAAAAAGGGATAGAGCATAGAGGCCAGAAGGAAAAGGTATCCCTTTGCCAAGGAGGGTATAGACAGGCTTTCTCCTTAAACTAACAAAAAATGGTTACAAAAATTCCATAGAAGAAACACTCCAAATGGAGAGGCCACTGTGGGGTTAAATTTAGTCCTAAAAGTATCACCAAATGTCATATTGGCCCTTTTTGTCTAAATAGACAGTAAAAGTGCTATACCTGTGGTTTTCAATAAGATTAGCTTTTAAGTCAATTCTATGAGAAAAGTTCTGGGAGATAATCAGCAATATTGTTAGGGAACCAGAAATTGAGCCCAAAATTTTTCGGAAGGGATGCAACCTGTTAGTCACAAACTCGTAATGAATGAAAAACTGG